GTTTATTATAGATCCATGTTCGTGTTCAGTATATAGTATATTACTTTCATATTCACAAGCGTGGCAACAAAATAGAATTATCGCTTAACACCATGTCAGCTTGTCGTATACTATCAGCTGAGCGATCGTTATACAAAAATGTAAATTTTGTATGCGGAGAGGTGTATAAAGTATAATTGAAGTAAGCAATGAGCAGAAGTTGATCACTTACTGCTTAATATGTCTCAACTAAAAATGACCTTGATACGAAGACATGCTTGTATTGTCTTATTACATATGAGCGACAATAAATACAGCAGAAGTTGATCACGTACCGCTTATTGTGTCTCAACAAAAAATGGCTATTATACGAAGACATGCTTGTAGTCGTATTACAAATGAGCATAGCCTTCTAAATGAAACAAGAAGGCTATGATATGAGCGCCAATAAATACCACACGAGTAAATGTTGAAAACATGGTCATCACAGTTCACAGTTCACACTCTTCTCTTGTTCACACTTCAGTGACTTCACAGAAAGCAATTCACAAATTCACACGCGGGTTAATGACTTATGTCACCTCCAAATTTTTGGTTGTCACATGTCACACTCCTGACTCCTCTCTGCTCTCAGTGCTCTGACTCTCCCTCTCTCTTCAATCTCGGTGTCTCTCAGTCTCTCCTCGTCACTCTTCAGCCTTCTGGCTCCTCTATTCTCTCTCCTCTACTAGCTAGTAGAGAGATATGTAGTGTCTCTCTAAGACTCTCTACTCCTCTAGAGAGTCTCTACCCTCTCTACTACATAGACGACTGACGAGATAAATATAATGTCTTTATACGGCACTGATGACAATAAAATTATTAACCACCTCAGGCCCAGTTTCCTACCAGTCGCATACATACATTTTCGAGTTAAATTTGCTTAAATATAGGTATATTAAGGTAATTAGCGTGATTTTAAGCACTTGTGAAATGTGTTTGTTTTCTGCCGGTTTGTTTACTATCTGCCGGCTGAAAGCGCTCGAATTAAATGTTAGATATTGTAGCGCGGATACAACCCATTTGTTGTACTTATGTTAGGTCCTTGTCGGTCTTAAGGGCTTGACATATGTTAGAAGTTAGACACATGTATATAGGCGTCCTCTGTCTTAGCTATTGCTTCGGATTCGCTCATGGTTTTACAGTTGACACTATTCGTGACTAATATACGTCGACCTCTCCTCTGAGGCCGACAAAGAACTAATACAAGAAGTGCAATAAATGAGCTAAAATCACGTAATTACATCTTTAAAGCAAAGTAAACTCGAAAAAGTACAAGTATGAGACTGGTAGGAAACTGGGCCTGCGGTGGTTAATAGTTTTATTGTCACCAGTGCCGTATAAAGACATTCGTGTCAGGCTGTCGGCCACAGTTGTGTCAGCCGCAGCCTGCCAGTCCGGCGGTGCCAGTGTGCCACACTGCCAGCCTCCAACTGGTGTGTGAGAAACTCAGAAAGCCAGCCTGCCAGCCTGCCACAGATAAATAAATAATAAACAACACGAGGCTGCATGGGACACTGAGGCCTGACAGGGCCTCACTGTGACTGGGGGCCCCTGACGGCGACTTTGTCTATACGACACCCGCCACTATAAATTTATTAACGCACGAGCTCGTGTCCAAAACTGCATCCGGTCCATTCGCAAAGGTAGGTTCGATATTTATGGACCCGTGACATTGGCCCAAGTACCGAACTATTAAGCGTGTACACTTGACAAAAAACTTTATGTACCGACACAACAGTCAAGTATCAGTTTTCGGTACATAATCTGCACCTATCACCTGAAATAGAATACAACGCTTCAGACTAGAGACTAGAGAGAGAGCCAATGTTCTGTTAGTGAGCGTGGTTCAACAATGTTGAATTTGGGGTTGTCCCGTTCTGTTGTAAATTTCAGGTCCAAGGGGTTTTGTCCTGTTCTGTGATTCATTAACCGCTTTTTTTTTTTAGAACATAAATTCATAGCCTTCTAAAAAATGGACAAAAAATTCAAAATAATTTCAACATAGGAATACTAAAGCTCGAGCGATAATAGTTTTATAGTGACGGGTGTCGTATAGACAAGTCCTGGCGCATTTATTTTTAAAAAACGAAACAACAAAAACAAAAAGAAATAAATGGGAGTTGGGAGTTGACCCAGTCGCGACTCTTGGGCTTCGGCACAAACCAGTCTTTTTTTTAAAAACATAACCAAACAACAAATAATAAAAAGAGTCTAAGTGAGTCAGCAAAACCAGCTGCAGCCACGTCCAAAGTCAACTATTGGTGTCCGGTACATATTGGGTTCGGACCGTTTTTTTTTCGCTCCAGTTTTTAGGGCCGCTTCTTATTCGGATGTTCGAAAGAAGCTTGTCGCTAAATATGTCCCTTGTCCCGGTCCTCCTCGGCTACAGACGGCGATTTTTGCTCTAGTTTTTTTTTTGGGGGGGGGGGGGGGAGGGGGGGGGTCTCCAAAAAATTAACAAGACATCATGACATCAGAAATATTCAGGACATGTATTTATGTATAATTAGTTGCATGGCTGTAGCTCAAAGCTCAATTTCTCCGGTATCCTCTACCATGGTGTTCCCGAGAAGCCACCAAGCGTTACAATCGTGCAGAGCATGGACTCGAGGCTTCCACTCCACATCCATTCACAATGGCCAGAACTATGTGGAGAAAATCGCACAGACATGCGCCGTCGGCCTTGAGGAGGGCGCCATAGTAAAGTCAGGCGACTTTGTTTCGATTTGCCCTACGTACGTAATGACCCACGACAATACAGCGGCAGTCATGAAGAAGTATGTAGTAGTGTTAGTGTGCTGATCGTATATCAATCGAATTTGAGCTCCAATCGTCATGAATGTTCGATCCTAGTTAGCGTTTTATCAACGACGGTCTATGTTATTTGCAGCACGTTGTGAGTATACGTATATTTTTGTGTTAGTTCAGTTGACGGTTAGGGAACGTAAACGAGCACATTTTGGTTATTGATGCACCTTAAAGCGATAGTTAAAGTCTATAAGTATGTTTAGCGTCTACGGATAAACTCAATGGTTGGTTGGTACCCTGAACTATATGCGCATGCCGTAAGATGGACGTTTCAGAAAAAGCTGGATGCAGCAATTCAGCACTTCTCTCACTGTCATGGATATAATTGTACAGCTTGTATAGGTGACTGACTGAATTATAATCATTTCTTCACATCTCAGATTCAATGAGCTGAAAGTGAGCAAGATGAGCAATCCTTCACAAGTGGTGAATACACTTGATCACAATGTTCAAGATAAGTCAGATGCTAATCTGAAGAAGTATGCAGATATCCAAGCGTTTGCCAAAGGCCATGGTGTCGATTTCTATCCAGCAGGTCGAGGGATCGGTCACCAGGTATTCATTTTTAACTTGCCGTGATCAAATCCTTCGTATTATTATTATTTACACATAACGCTACGCTTCAAGTCAATATATATTTGTCGATAACTTCGTCAGGAGATTGTCATGCGCGCTCACGCCCTATTTAGGAAGCACAATCGGGCGGGCACATGATCACCCGCCTATGAACCTATATCGGATTACTTTCAATTTGAAGAATGGGCACATCAAGTCAAAATTGATACTCGAAAGCCACTCATCGAAGAAAATTGAAGTGCTGTAGTCATGTGAGCACTCAACGAAGAGGAGCGGCATTGTTGGCATATGTATGGCTGTATTTACATGTTTTATAAATTGAAGTGGGTGAGTTCGCATAAAAAAAAACTGTGGACTTATATATAGCAGAGGCGTATGCGGGTTATGAGTGGCTATATATGTGAAGATTCTTATAAGGAACGCTAGTCGGAATGTGCTATCAATCTGAGTAACAATTGGATCTCGGGATACCGTCTAATTACATTATTGTCTATCCAGGTCATGTGTGAGGAAGGCTACGTTACACCATATGCAATGGTGGTTGCAAGTGACAGTCACAGTAACATGTACGGCGGCCTAGGCGCTCTGGGAACTCCAGTCGTACGCACTGATGCTGCCGCTATTTGGGCCACCTCGCGTACATGGTGGCAGGTGCCAAAGGTCACCAAGGTGCAGCTGGAAGGTAAGCTGAATGGTGGTGTTACCGGCAAAGATCTGATCATCACTCTCTGCGGCCATTTCAACAAAGATGAGGTTAGTAAGTCTCTTCTCGGGCAATGGCTTGGAAGTTCGAACCCCTATTTGAGTATAATCGTTGATGACATGTTTTGGGTGTTTAGTATGCTGCGCTTGAAGTTCTTCATGTAGTATGCTCATTGTAGTATACACACTGCTCCACTCCAGTATGTTATACTTCATTTTATACTGATTCACTGATCGATGTGTATGTATGGTAATGTTGACTGGCAAGAGCTCGACTGTTCGTATCAATATATCATTGTTGACAAAATACATTTTTTCGTCGGGTGCTGACTTTGAAGAGAGTCTCCACGAACAAATCGCTATACCCATCAGTTTGATTACTATACAATGGGATTCGACCAGTCTGAGGCTCAGGAGATGTTTGTGACAATTAAACAGAATTCAAAATTATACATCATCTGTCAGGTACTTAATCATGCTGTAGAGTTCACTGGCCCAGGCGTCACTGCGCTCTCAGTAGACGACCGCCTCACCCTTGCGAACATGACAACCGAATGGGGAGCCTTGGCCGGAGTGTTTGCTCCCGACAGTGCTACCTTTGAATGGCTCGAAAAACGAACGCGATTTGTCGCCCTGAGGGGTCCTGCAGGAGTGCCTTCGGACAAAACAACTTCAGGTGAGGTGATGCATCATATAATCATACGTAGCGATATATACTTTTCTTGTGGTATTGCGGGTGTCGCGTATACGATAATACATTGCCAAGAAATTTTGCGAATAGTGCCACTGATAAATTGAGGTTTACAATTGGTGCATATAACCCATCAAGTGTACCTGCTTACGCCTGCTCATAACACCAATTGTCTACGCATGCGTATTATATGCACATTGTTATGCAGGGGAATGGACACATCCTCGCTTGAATGAGACAGCCATCCAGGCCATACGCGAGAGGGCACCTGCCATGGCCGCAGACGCCGATGCACATTACGATCAGGTGATCACCATAGACTTGTCCACGGTCAGTCCTCACATCTCCGGCCCAAATCATGTCAAAGTTATGTCGCCTATCAGCGAGATGATGAAGGAGAAGAAGAAGGTACACAAGGCATACTTAGTGTCCTGTGTAAATTCGCGCGCCTCAGATATTGCAGCTGCAGCGGCGGTTGTGCGTGGCAAGCAGATACACGAGGATGTCGATTTCTATGTTGCCGCTGCTTCGAGTGAGGTGGAAGCGGCAGTGACAGATTCCGGAGATTGGCAGTCTTTGATGGACGCTGGGGCGAAGGCTCTGCCACCTGGGTGTGGGCCTTGTATTGGGCTGGGCGCAGGTTTACTCGAAGACGGAGAGGTGGGTATTTCTGCCACCAACCGGAACTTTAAGGGACGCATGGGATCAAGGAATGCGGAAGCGTACTTAGCCTCACCCGCCGTAGTTGCGAGTAGTGCGCTTGCGGGATATATTACATCCAGCCCCGAAATGGAAGGTGCCCAATACGGAGAGCTTGTAGCTACCTTGGAGAAATCGCAGAAGGTTGCAACAGAAACACCAAGCGTTACGATAGACCCAGCATTCCCGGCAAGTATGACTGGAAACATACTGTTCTGTCACCAAGACAACATTAACACAGATGGCATTTATCCAGGCAAATACACGTATCGGGAAGACATTTCACCCGAGGACATGGCCAAGGTCGCGATGGAGAACTACGACACCGGCTTCCAGGGACTTGTTCAACAAGGGGATATACTCGTTGGCGGCTTTAACTTCGGATCCGGTAGTAGTCGTGAGCAGGCCGCCACATGTCTTAAATATGCAGGAATACAGCTGCTGATTGCAGGTAGTTTCAGCGAGACGTTTAAAAGGAATGCGCTCAACAATGGGGTTTTAGTAATTGAGGTATGTCTATGTTAAGGATCAAATATATCTTTTATCTGACTTATGCACCAGGCCCACCTACCAACACACCCTCATTTTTTGTAATCTTGAATTTACTTTCCTAAGTGATCATGAAATCCAACCTTGCAGTATTGTAGATGTCGGTAGAAAGGTCATTAACAATGTTTATGTTTGTCTTTTGCTCTACCCTAGATTCCTGAGCTCGTATCAGATCTTCGGAGTTCACTCGGCGAGTCGAAGAATACAGCGCGCACTCCCGAGGCAGCTAATATAAGTTTCGCTAACTCGACGATCAAATACGGATCAAAAACTTACACCTTCAGCCCCGTTGGCGCGGTGGCTCAGGAATTAATTCTTGTCGGTGGACTAGAGAACTGGGTGAAGAAACAAATATAGATATCTCATGGGAAAACCGGTTGTTGTTGTCAAGCATGAGAGAAACAAGAATATATAAATATTAGGCACTTGGAAATAACAAATCGCAATCGATGTAAAATATCCAAAGAGAACTAGTGCTTTATGGGCCAAGATTTTGAAAAAAATGGAACTAGGCATGTGATTTACTATATACATATATATATATATTCATACATTTATATACATATATATATATATGTATGTTTGTATGTATATATATATATATGAATGTATACAGATATTTGTATGTGTCGGTGTCTAATATATATATAGACTCAGACACATATAAATATATATATATATATATACATACATATAAATTCATATATACATACATATATATTCATATATATATGTATACATATATAGACATACATACATACATACATATATATAAATATATGTATATATATATACAATATATACAGCACACACACATATATATATAACCATCGACAGAAGCTATATGATGAGTTTATTTTTATTTGCGCAATATTCAAGTGGAAACTGCCGCGCTCGTTATGTGCACACATGAGCTTGATGCGCAGAACATATCTCATTCCTATATTCCAGGCGTGCTCTAGTGTACCAAAGAAGCCGTACTACTCGACCTGTGTCTAATGTTGAGGGTCTGTGCATGCTACAATCTACGTGAATGAGAATCTCCATGTAGTACCCTTCTGAGCGAATCATCCCGTTGTGCATATTACTGGAAGCTCGCTCGCCTATTGCCATACCCAGTGAATCTGTTATAAAATTGAATTTTTAGCATGAGAATGGTGTGAGCAAATGCCTAACACAAGATTGCGATACATTTGTCAATTGTATAGCTCCCGCGATATGCGAAGATATGTCCACCTAAGGGTTTTTAGTGTTTAGGAATATTTCTAGATTGAAGCATAGATTCACAAGTATATACAGATGTCGAAAAGAAACAAAAAGCATGTGCCTACGATTTTAACCTTGGTCTATTCCGTGTGATATGAACGTACGGAAATATATATTAGCGGACACGCAAGACAAATATTGTTCGAAAGCTACGTGAAAACGGCCCACCCGACTCTTATTTACATTTGATAAAGAACTTCAACTGAAGATTAAATGGGTAATATAACCTACGAGAAAGATCAGTACAGCGTATGACCCAGACCACCTACACAAGCACACCCCTTTCATTCTTCGTGGAAAAATTAAATAGAAGAAGAGACCCCTTCTCGCGGCGACATCAATAAGCAATTTCACCGCTAAGCCCAATAAACTATATGGATAGTAATCATTTTAACATCAACCACAGTAATCGAATGTACATCCTAGAAGAACTGCTTGCCAACTTGTTCGGGCCAAGTAATCGATGTACACGAGCATGTATGGACTGAACAAAGGGTAAAACATTGTACCGAAGGCTACTCTACTTGCCTTCCACGACCTCCGCCGCCACGACCACCTCCACCGCCTCGTGCGTTGTAATAGGGACTATAACCCGGAGCTCCACCTCTGCGTGCTCGCCTGCCGCCCCTCATCTTTAGACCAGGCACGTTGGTTCGTTTGGGGACTACCTTGATCTGTCTCCCTCTGAATAAGGATTCGTCCAACACTTGTGCATTATCCACAGCGCTCTTATCAGAAAATTCGATATACGCGTATCTGCAAACAATAGTGATCAATTGACATGCAGTGTTACAGTCATATTTGTATGAGTAGGTCACCATAATGATACAACGTATGACAAAATGTAGAATAAATTTCAATGCGAGAATATATAAAAATGTGTATTGGCTTTTTCAGAAATCATAAAATGTGAACGGTATGAAAGACGACGCAGTAATAACCAAATTGGAAAGTGAAAGACTAAGACATGACTATCTACACACATATATACACATATATTATATATATAGTAGATATATATAAAATAAAACAAAAATATGAGTAAATATCTATTTTGTATGTATGTGCATAAAATACCAAGGTATATATATATATATAAAATATAATACATTATATATAAAATAAAATAATGTAACTCACACACACACATATATATATATATGATATATATAAAACTAACTATATATATATAAATTAATATATGCCCAATAATTCATAAATATATATACGTAAATATGCATATGCATATGCATATATATACGAGTACACACACACACACATATATATATAAATATATATGCATGAAAATTTCAATATATTTAGATGGGTTTAGGTTTACGCATATATATGAAGAATCCCAATATTATAATATTCATATGTACATTTTTTTAATTTTGATTCATAGGAATATTATACTATATACAGTTATAGACCATATTATATATATAGATATATATTTTAGATACATATATGTATGCATATACATAATAAATATATATATATATAGATATATATATATATATGCAAATACATATATTCATACAAACATATACATACACATTTGCATATACACATATATATATATCAATATATGTATATAGATATATTGATATAAATATATACATATATATATAATGGTCTGTAACTGTATATAGTATAGAGTACAATATACCTATACATGTGTGATTGCGTGTACTTTTGAACCGGCTGTACCGAAAATGTACGCTTCTAACAGCCGCTATTACTCGCTATTGGTACAGGGCACCAGTCTATTATATCACGGTAACCTTTTAAACTAGTGGCATGTAGATGTGAACTTTGGTCACAGACAAGCGTACAAACAAAGGGGGTGGCACGTAGAAATAAAGTAAATAAAAAATTAGGTCGGACAAATAAACTCGCACAACTGCTGGGTACATATCGGCATCCAGGAAATGACCACTACTTTCGCAGGCCATATCCAAATAGATGTGACCGAAAATCGCTATCACTTCACTTATACTTGTGTAATACACATACCCTTTAGGTTGTCCAGTGTAAGTGTCGCACATGATTGTTATCCTGTTAATAGCCCCGCATGAGCCAAAGTGGATCTGCAATTCTTCGGGAGTGGCGCCATAGTCCACATTGCCCACATACACCGACCGAGCATCGATGTCCTCCTTGGGCTCTGTAGGCGCAGCAACAGCCATTTGTTTTTCCACTTGATCCTGCATTTCCTGTAATTTCTTAGCCTCTTCTTCCATCTCCTTGACCTTCTGTTTCATGGCCTCCAGTTCAGGGTCATCTATTTCATCATCATCACCTGCCACACCCGCGACATCTGTGGTATTTTCATCACCGTCTGCTGCTGTGGCTTCGGTTGTGTCTGCAGATGCGTCTTCTAAGGCCACACTGGCTGCAAGGGCTTCTGCTTCGGCGATTATGCGTGCCTCTTCGCTCTCGAGGTCATCCCTGAAGGTCTCGTCCGCCATTGTATATGTTATGGGAATGAAACGCACTTTGTACGGATATCGATAGGACTTACGTGTAAGATAACTCAAATACTCTCAATAAAGTCGAGTACAATATCTCTGAAGACCTATATATTTACACAGATTATACACTGAATCGAGTGTGCTTCTCTCATGAGCATATAAATAAATACAATCATATGTAACGTTTATCCCCAAAACCGCGTGTGGATACTGTTTGTGGGCCAGCCATGAAACGGTGGGTCGAAATCCGTTGCCAATTGACAAACTCGAGGCATTTTGGTCAGTATGATTGTTGTGATTTTTTTTTCAAAAAACAAAAAAACAAAAAAAAACAAACTCGTTTACCTAAAGTAGTAAACGTTTAACGTAACCGCAATAGTGATTTATCGTTTTTCGACACTATGTACATAAAAAGATAAACTGCTCAAGAATTAAAACACCCAGAGTTATAGCTATATGTTTTTTTAAAAACAAATGAAAACGTTATTGTCATGAATAGAAAACGTTACTATCGTAATGAAGAGAAACGAATATTTATCGAATGGAAGCTGCTGCTGTGTGAAGGTCTGTTCTGAAAACAAAACCTAAAAACTATCGGGAATTCTATACAAATAATAAATATGTACTCCACACCAGAATAAAAATCGGCTCCAATGCAAGCAGTGATAAGCTGGCACAACGAGATTGGTAAATGGTGGGGTAATTCTCTGGGGCACGTATACTTAAACAAGGACCCGCAACAGCACACGTATATATACGAGTTGATGCGACAATCATTAACACACAAAGACCGCTCTCCAATCGTTCGAATAAACCATAATTGCCCGCATTAAATCCAACGTATCCACTCAGCATGTCCCACAGCTATCTCGAGGTCGAGCCGAGGGAACTCGAATTTATAAGTAAGTGTTTGTAGCTCCAACTATATTTTAGTACGTCGCGGACAGGATCGATACATTGCTTGACTTCATTAACTCAGAATATTTTTATTTGTAGCTTTGATGTCACCAGCAATTAATTCAACTAGTTGCTTGTTATCGTATCTATGGTGCACCGTTTGTTTTCCGATTGCAAGTAGGCATAAGAACCACAACACGTCCATATTCTGTGGAAGTACATATTTTTAAAATATAATGGTAAATATATATTCATATAGTGAAAAAATTGTACATTTAATATATTCGCGAATTCGTTCAAGCGACACACAAGATTTAGACAAGTACATATATTTTGCTACGAAGACGGAAGCGAGTTACGATTTTTGTCTCTAGATATGATATTCGTATCGAATTGTGCATACTATTCGATAGAAGTATAATTTCCATACGTATATGTCAATATATATATTTGTATATGTATATATATATCTATATATAAAATGTTATATATATATATATATATCTATATAGATACATATATATATATATATATATATCTATATATATATATATGTGTGTGTGTGTGTGTATGTGNGTGGTTGTGT